AATGACAAAAAAGTTGATGGAGTAAAGTGAGTACACGTCTGTGGTACAGACTTTATTATGTAAATTAATCTATGATTAAAATTGATTTGTAGTTGTTGTATACCACGAATACCGCACTGACACTCTGGAATCATAGGTAATTCTGTGTCAATGTATAGTGTATATTATTTGTGGTCAATTAGTTATGTAAATTATCCACAGTGAGGGGGAGAGGGTTGTGGATGGATTGAATACATTTTTTCGGGAAAATTATTTTAAAGGGTTTCATAAATCATTGGATCGCTGAAAGAAGTCACATAAAATAAAAAAAAACCCTGGTTCACTTGCAGATTTATTACACAGCAATCATGTTGTAGCTAAAATAGCAATAGCAAGTATTTCATTAGAAAGTATATATATTTATTTAAAACGGCTAAGTGATTAAAATTCAGAATGAATTAAACAAGAAACATACGCATTCATTTATTGAAACCGCAAACGTAACAACGATATTTTATGAACAACACACGATTAGAATAAATATAGAACACTAAAAATTTTTTAATAAAGAACCATATCCCCAACATAAGCGCAACTAGGGAGACACTATAGGGTTTTTAGCACCTCTGAGTTCAAATGTAGCACTCCTGTTTTTTTTTTCAGATCTATCTAATCTACAGTAATTACAGTTAAATACTATTTTATTTTATTTTTAGCAATTTCAGCACCCCCAATATTTGGGCTCTAGTTGCGTCCATGATCTCCAATATAGTTCATAATCGGATAATTCCTATCAATATTACCGGCTATTTTTTTTACAAATGCTCTTCGCAAAATAATAGCGTCCATTTACTAGTAACCTAACTGTGGTTTCATCTTGATTAATTAATACAACAGCATTTGTTTGTGTTATATTCTCCTGCCGATTTGAACTTAAATTTTAAAAACAGTGCCAACAACATACCTACTTATGTGACTTGGCGCTCATGCGTATAAACATGAACAAAACCAGATAAATTATAAACAAATAAAAATTTCATCGATATTTTAAATAAAAATATTTGGTAAATTTTAATTGAACTTTAAGATATTAATTATTTATTGCAAAAATATTATTATGGAGATGCAGATCTTGATAGATATGATCATGGGAATAGGTTAAAATAATATATGTTTATAGCATAAAATAGTTAACATATTATCTAATAACTATTGACTACTCTAAAGATTTTATAAAATATATATTTCATCTTTGTCTATTAAATTAAATCAAGTTTATTAACAATTAACTTAAATGTTTTAATAAGTACCTATATCGTTGTATAAAATTATAATACATTGTTATTACTTAATAGTTATAAAAATGGAAAATGTTATGAGTAGGGTCCGGATTTGTATGCACTTAAAAACCTTAAAATAGTATGCATTTATGCATCAAAAAACCTTTAAATATGCACTAGATATGCTCTTATTTTTTTTAAAAAATATGCAAAAATATGCTCTTACCCAAAATATATGCATTTATAATTTTTTTTTTTAATTTTTTCTTTATATATTAATAAATAATAATTAATACAACATAATCAAACTTAATTTTTTTATTACCGGCACTGCGACATCAACTTACAACATTAATTAAAGACAAAAAATGTTTAAAAATTACATTAAATTAATAAAGTGCACTTTAGTTAAAAATAATAATAAAAAAAATGTATTTAATTCTTTTATACCAATGAAGACAATTTATATATATAAAAAAACAATTTAAACAAATAAAAACATTTTAATTACCTAATAGATATAAATCGATATTTACTTTTTATAAAAAGAGTTAACAATAATATACTCTTCCATATGTTCAGGTGTCATATTTATTCTTCTATCACTTAATATATGTTTATATAGACTGAAGGATCTTTCCACATCTACTGACGTCAACGGTGCATATTTCATATTTGCCACAGAGCAAGGATTGAAATTTTCTGGAATCTGTATTTCATTGTTACCTGATATAACTAGTCCGATTTGTTCTAGTACTTGAAATCCTTTATTTTTTTGATATAACTGAGATATTTTATTTTTTATGATAGAACCTTTGTCACCTTGTATATTTGATAGTTCGGAAATTATATTTTTCGTAATCTCTAACGATTGTAGTAATGTCAATTTAATATCTTCTAAGTTTGTGATTGCCCGAATAAGTCCAGAAAAGTTAATTTTTATAAATGTTAAATCATTTTTCACTGTAGTCAAATTGAACATTTTTTTACAATTATCTACACTTGCTGAAGAATCATTATCTAGTTTTTCTATTACACTTTTAATACCTTCATAGTTATTTGCATTAAATATAACTGCCTCTATCCATGTCCCCCATCTTGTAATAACTGGTTCCGGGGGCAATGGTAAACCAGGTAGCATTTCTTTATATAGTTGAATACGAGAAGGTGACTTTAAAAAAAGATTTTTTTACATTGTTAATTAATTTATTTACATCGGGGAATAACTCTCTTACCTTTTCTGCTACTCTGTTTAACATATGTGCTACGCATGTTACATGGATGATATTTGGGTAAAACACTTTTAATGCATATCCAGTTTTAACCATATATGGCGCTGCATCTGATAAAAACAATCTTAGGTTTTCGTCATTTCCCCCAGCGGGCCATAATATTTTTAAACTATCGTTAATAAAACGAGATACAGTAGAGTGATTTGTTTTTGGCAGTTCTTTACATGCTAATAGATAGGGTTGACTTGGTGTATCACATTCTAAAACGCCAACTAATAAATTTGCTATATAACGGCCGTTTGTATCAGTTGTTTCGTCAACAGCAATCCAAATATCTGAATTTCCAATAATTTCTCGGATTGCATTTATAACATTATTGTAACATGGACCAAGATAATTTTTTCTAAGTGTACTTTCATCGGGAATATGCTTACCTGTGTACTTTTCCAAAAAAATCTTGAATTCGGGAATTTGAAGTTTATTCCATGGTATATTAGCGACTATCAAAGCTGAACAAAGATCCTCGTTAAAAATGTTACCAGATTTAGGTTTTGCGTCCAATACAAATAATTGTTTTTTGTTATCATTTGCTTTACGATTTAAAGCACTTTTATGCAAAGCAGTATCAACGTGTTGTTGTATTTGAAATTTTTTGGTGCAAACGATTTTTTTGTCACACAATTGATAAAACACTACAGAACCGTCCGTAGTAAAAATTGTGTGGTCTGTTTTATTATACAATGCAATCCATTGTTTTATTAAAATTTGAATATTACTACGACTTTTCGGCATTTTAAAATTTACGAGTGTAAAAAAAATTATTAAAGAAATTTGTTTATATACGGAATGCGGATTACGAAATTATATTTATAGGCGATTACCGACTGGCGACTACAGCACGACGCACGACGATTAAATACCAACTAAATGTAAAACAACAAGAGCCACGATGCAGCGTGTTTATCCAATATAAGACTTAAAATCACGATAATAATAATAATAATCATGCTAAAAATATAATTGTATGAAGGAAATTTATATATAACTGGTCTTCATTGTTGTCGATCGATATGTTTCGATAAGCAAGATATGGTTTTAATACAAATTAAATATTTCCCCACAATACTTCATAAACTCATAAATCTAGTTTCTATAGTGAAATATAAATAAAATAACTATTATGTACCAAAATATGCTTTATTATGCCGAATTCTTCAAATATGCTCTAAACCTTAAAATATGCATTTATATGCAAAATAAACTTTTTTCTATAGATTCTCTGCTACACAAATCGTTCACATTTCTTACTCCCGTTGAACTGCATACACTCATTAAAAATATGTAAATGCATAAAAATCCGGACCCTAGTTATGAGCATTGAATAATAATAAAATAGTTAATTAAACTGGTATTAAAAAGTTTGCCTGTACTCAGTAAAATGTGAATGCAATATGTAGCAACCATGTTTAGTTTCCTCTAACATGTTACACTATTAAATAATTAAATAACATTTTTCTAGTTCAACAATGAAATTTAAATGCGTAACCGGATTATTGTCCAACGAATTATACTACTTATTTACTACTCATATTTTAATCATAAATAAAGAAGATCAAATCTATTTGATACCGTATATCAAACCCCGATTTATAAATTCCAGAAAAATAGATGTAGGTAAAAATACTGTAAAACATATAACAAGTTTATAGGATTAATTTATATTTTTTACGATGTATTTTTAACTAAGTACTACATTCACTAATAACTAAAATATACCATAAAATAGTGTAATAAATGTATTCAAAATAATTATTTGAGTACCTATTATACTAAATAAAAGACACTTTTTGTTTAAATTTTGCTATAACAAAAGTAACTAGTGCGTTTTCATGTGAACATCGTGTCAAGTTAAAGTCATTTACGGCCTTGGTCTTGTTTATGTATCACAGACAAATGGTAAATTCTGTACGTATACTGTAAGCCACATTATAAGCGTGTTTACCGGTATGGTCAATAGGCCATTGCCATACCTGAGAAATCAATTCCTCGCAGAATTCTTAAATAATGTCCATAACATGAATATAACGGTAGTAAAAATAGTAAAATATTAATCAGCTTGAAACGCCGACGAGTCAAATGTTGACTTCAAAGAGGATGTCAAACTCGATTCCTATACTTTTTCTTATTTTTTTTAATGTACCTAGTTGTAATTAAGTTACTAAGTTTCCATTTTATTTTCATCTACGTGCACCCCTATCGGGCCAAGTGCTTTGAAACTCTTTGAACAATAACAATGAGATTATAATGTTTCCGACTTGAACATTCGAGCAGTTTTAATCCGCGGGGTTTTCCTTATTACTAATGATCAGCTGTGTACAGGCATGCGGTTGTAGACGTGCGCGAGTGTATAAAATAACAGTATAGATACCTAATGTAAGTGTTGTGAAACGGGAAACGTAATTCATTGGCGTCCATATGCGCACAGCACCGGGTCTTCGGTAGTGAATTATACATTATTTTAATCGTATGAGTAATATAATTTACCAATGTAGTCGATTATGCATGCATTTGTGTAACCAGCTCGGTTGAATAACCGTGAACCAATTAACGGCGTTACGAACGACATTAGTTGTACCACGGAATAGGTTGTACCGATACAGCCGATATGGTGATTCATTCATAACGTACTCAATAATTATTATGCTTCGGACGATTTCGTCGAGGTTACCAGAAGTCTGGTTCATCAGCGACACCGGCAGAGTGGCTCTTGTTATTATTTTTACTATCAAATGTTCTAATCATATTGACATGATCCGCGATAAGAATTGTTTACGTTTACAAATTAATTCAAAACCGAAGAGTAAGACAAATTTTTATCTCAACATTAATATTATATCGTTTAGCGGTTTTGGCCCATTCCTTATATGTGAACATAATAATAATTTTATCGAATAATATGTCCAACAAGTCCGTACAGATTTCCGATAAATTAATTCAATGGGAAGACGACAAAAACCCCTTAGCGCCTTTAAGCCAAACTCAAATTAATGCATATTTGAGTTTATCCGAATACATTGGAAACACTACGGACGTAATAGTATGCGTTTTAATTATTAATATACTTTTGAAATGTATAGTTGAATCATTTTTTCTCTCAGTCTTTAGAACTTAAAGACAGTGAAAAAGATAAGGAAGATAATGAAGAGCCCGATATTTTAGGCAGAAATATTGAATCTACTGAAGATGTAAGCAACCTTTAGTCTTCAAATGTGGATTACTAATTTTTCATAAGTTTAAAAGTATTGTAATCAAACACCGTTTATGATCTTTTTTATGAAAAATGAAGTAGTTGCTTTTGTTGTCTATTAAATTATTTATCAAATAACATTATGATAAGAATTTAGATGCTCAAAAGTTTTTCCAATATTTTTTCTAAATTACAAATTTCTCTGCCATCTTGTCAGTATTTAATTTACCTATCTAATATGATTTATACTTTTGTAGTTTTATAAATTTTATGATGAAATTGCACAAAAATGGATGTCTGCTGATATTGAACCATATATACAGCTTGCTAATGAACTTAGAAGACAGTTGGATGAGTGGAATACAATGCTGTCCAAGGTAAAATAAGTAAATGCATCATTTCAGTTTTATCTAAAGTAGGGCAGTCTGCATGCTCTTATCAAATTTCCGACACAGCACCTCATTTACCAAAGGGTCGATAAACATTTAATGTGGGAGGAAGGGAATGTTAAACCTGTCCAAAAATATAAAGATTTTTACTTTGTATATAAGTATACACATAATACATGCCAATGGCTTTATAAAAGTAAAAGACATATTTATGTTTTAATGACGCTTCGACTTTGGAATAGCTAAATCTAGACAGTGGCATATGCATGAGTTGCCCCTCCTTAAATTATGCCACTGCATTTAATGCAGGATAGAATTGATATTTAGTAAATTTTAGATGGATGAGTGTATACAACTTATAAATACATTGGAAGAGAAATACAGTGAGGTATCTAAGAAAACAAATTCCCTGTATATAGCAGGCGAAGAACTGCATACTGATCAGGTTTGAAAATTTTTTTATTATTTATATAAAATTGAAAGTTATAAAAAAAATTATTTTTTAGATATGTCTAAGTAAAATATGCTTTGAAATTAATGAACGTTTGTCCATTTTCAATTCTGTTGACTCCATACAACTGAAACTGGATTCACCTTCATTCATTGTTACTAGTGAAATGTTTTCTAATATGATGACATCTATTGATAATGGAATTAAATATATCAATGATCATGTTAGTATAATTGTACAGTATTTTTTTATATTTTGTTTATATTTATGCATATTTATTTTTTTATAGATGTCCTATAAAGAGAGTAATAAATATCTTGCTCTTTATATAAATGCAAGGTACAAGGCTTTGTCTCTTGTACAAACATATATATCTCAGTGCCTTCAAACAGGAACAGAAAGTTTAGATACAACTGAATTCATTGCTCACTATGGAAAGTTTCAAGCTATCGCAACTAAAATAAGACCAGTGATAGAGTTACTAGAAAGTCGAATAGATTTGGATCCAATGTATGTGTGTTGATAATTGTAAGCATTAAGTATTTAAGCATTAAAATATTTTAAATTTATTTTCTTAGATATTCTGCGGCATTAGATGATTGTGTTCTGACTTATGTTACACGGCGAAAAGTTCTTCTTGGTGCATCAATTACCAATACATTGTCAAATTACACTTCAAGCGGTAGTGATTATTGTTCAACATTACGTTCGTCATGTAAAATATTAATACAATTAACTCATGATGAAAATCGATTATATCAATGTTTCTTTACAAATAAATCTTCAGTATTTAGGTATAACAAATTCATAGATTATAAATAATTATTCTAATTTTGTTTTTGTCTTGTTTATTTTTCTAGAGAATATTTGGAAGCAGTTTGTATGCATTTATATGATATGTTAAGACCATTAGTCATTCATATGAAACATTTTGAAACATTGGTAGAACTTTGTACAATCTTAAGAATTGAAATATTACAAGATTATGTATATGAAGATGGTAATTAAAATTGATAATGAAATATTAACATTATAAGAAGTGGCTACTTAATTAAATATTAATTTTTTTTAGTTCTAAAAGATTTTTAAAATGCAATTCTATGTTTTTTAGCATCACTAGAAGTTTTTGGATGTGTAGCTGAATTGCTTTTACAAGATATTCAAGAACGTTTAGTATTTCGAGCAAATTTGTATTTTGTCACTGATATTTCTGAATATAAACCATCACCGGGTGATTTAGCTTATCCGGAAAAATTAAAACAAATGGAAGCTATTGCTGAAGAAATGCAATACAGACAATTGACTAGATATGATTCAACAGGAAGCTTAATTTCATCTGTTTCTGAAGCACCATCAGTAATGTCAAAACAATCAGTTGGTATGTACTTATATATAACCCTTATTCAATATTGTACAATGATATTTTTTTTTCAAATATGATATATCTTTAACCTGGAAATTTTCTAATCAGATATGTATTTGTAATTTATGTAAAAGATGAAAAATAATACCTTTACTTTCAATTTGTATATATTAAAAATACTAATAAAATAAATTTAATTGAAAAAATGTAATTAAATGAACAATTTTGAATTTATACACTCATGTTTCTATCTACAGTTGTGTTAAATTAATATATTTGACTCACTGTTTTGCTTTTTGAAATAGTGTTTATTCTTTCCCATTGTGATGTTATAAAATTAGAAATGTTTGTTTAATACTGAGTGTTTCTTTTATCACTTTCTACTCAAATAGAATGCTATTAATGGACATGGAGCTATTTTAGTACTGAATTATAATTTAAATTTTATGTTGCCTAGTTTACATATTAATGAAATATGTTCTGAGTTTTAAAAAAGTCAGACAAATTAGTATTAAGTTATTAGTTAATAGTATTATTAGTTAATTTTTAATTGTAGTAGTAATATAAGAAGTAAATACTTAGATATATAAGGCACATTATATTGTAGTTTTTCAAATAACATGTTTATAAAAAATAGTTTACTGAAATACTATTGATCATTTAGGTTCATTATTTTTATTATAACTATTTTGGATTGGTAATAATAACACAATACAGTTAATAATTAGTTATAAAAAAAATTGTTTCTCTTAACTAATTGTATAATATAATTTATTTATTAATTTAGGGGGATGGACTTCTGCTGCAGATCTTCATGGAATGTGGTATCCACCAGTAAGGCGTACATTAATGTGCCTATCACGTTTGTACAGATGTGTTGATAAAACTATTTTTCAAAGTCTTTCTCATGAAGCTGTTGCATTATGCTTAAAAAACATACATCAAGCGGCTCTCATTATTTCCCAAAAAAAGGTATTTTATTTTATTTTACAATACTGTGATATACATGATATACATATATTTTTTAAAATTTTAATGAATATCTTTAAAACCCTGTTACTTAATTTCCTAATTATTCCCCTGAATTAACTTACTGAATTTTTATTTTATTTCATGTTGTCATATTTCAATCTGTATTGATAAACCATGTTTCAAATAGTATAATTATATTTTTATTTTTCTAATGAATAATATGAGTTCTTTAGATTTATAATTTTAAATGTTAAAAAATGTTAATCCAAAACATTAGTTAATGTTTGAATTTTAAGTGATATAATGAATGATGAATTTTAAAATAATTATGAGTGTACTATTATGATCTATATCAGTGATTCCTAATTGGTATGCTGCGGGTGCCCTTGAAGTATGCCATGATATATCTATAAATTGTTTTATAAGTTTGTATTTACCCACTTATTATCGATATTAAATGAAAACTAATTGAATTAATTGTAGGTACATATAATAATATTTATTGTAAGTATGCCCTTCACAGCCGTCTCGATCGATTGATTGTATTAAAATATTTCACAATAAATAACCCTCTAATAGAGTAGACTGTACACAGTATATATATATATATATAAAATATGGTTCACAAAATATATGGGTTAGTGTGACGTAAACATTTTTTTAGAGATGAAGTGCGCCGCATTGATAAAATGGTTGAAAACCACTAATCTATATTGTATAGTTATCAATTTTTAAATGAAACTTATTTAATTAAGTATCCTTGCATCTAGTTAAAATATATTTAAAAATATACAAAATCTGACACTGAAAAAAAAAATGTTTTAAATGTACCTTGAAAAAAAGTAAATTTTATGCAAGTGTATATGATACTTTGTTGGATTTAATAATGTATTATACATTTTTAATTTTGTTACAGTAGTAGCCTATATCTACTATTTTCCCATACATTTCAGTAATAAATATTGCTAGTTATTAATAAATTATATCGATATATTGTTTTATAGACACCAACAGATGGCTCTCTGTTTGAAATAAAACATTTATTGATAATCAGAGAACAAATAGCACCATTTCAAGTTGATTTTACTATTAAAGAATTAAACTTGGATTTTAGAAAAATGAAAAATGCTGGTAATTTAATATTTCTAGTTTTATAAGTAATAAATGGTATTTATGTATTGCATTTATATTTTTTAGCTTGGGGTTTACTTCAGAAACATGATAAAATGTTTGCTTTAAATTCAAGTAATTCAATTATTGAGTTTTTACTGGAAGGAACACCAGTTGTCTTAGAAAACTCTGTAGATTCGAGACGCTTGGTGGACCAGACGTTGAAAGAATCTTGTCAGACATTCATCAATAATTCATCTAATACTTTAGTATCACCTCTAACAATGTTCCTTGAAGAAGTATGTTTAAACTTTTAAATGTCAGTATAATTAATATATTCAGTGCACATTATACCTATTATCATTATTCACAGGTTCAGAAATACATAAAATGGTGTAACATGCAAGGTTTGCATGGTATTGTTAAACAGCAAGAGTTTGCTCAACCTAAAGCTATACAAGAAAAGGTGCAAGAAACTTTAGCTAAAATTAAAAAAGAGTTACCTCTATTCTTACAGAGTATGTCATTATACTTGGCTAATGCAGATACACAGTTTGTCTTATATAAGCCTATTAAGGTTTGTTGATTAAACAGAACTAGAATAAGAGTTATTTTATTATGATTATTTGTTCTAGAATAACATTTTACATATATTTACAAGAATCCAACAATTTTTAACAACAAACAATTACACTACAGAAGAACAACAATTAATTGCATGTCCTACATCTGAACAGATGTCCATGTTATTATCTACTTCTTTGATGTCTAATAAATCGTGAGTTCAATTTTATTTTTGTACAATACTTATTAATTTCATCTAATTCTTTATTATGATTTCTCAGTATCTCAAGAAAAACAAGTACTGTTTCTATTGACGAGCACCCAGCTGAAACTAATGAAAATTCTACATAGTTTACTATCTTACCAATATTTACAAAATGTCTGTGATAAATGTCAAAAGTGTCATTCTTTAAACATCCCATTGCAAAATTTGACATCATTAAAACTAATAAAGTCTAAACCATGATTGGCTTATCTTAATGTATTATGTTGTTAATGGTCTGAAAGGCTCAGCAGTTATATGTTCTTTAACTACCAAAGATTTAGAACGGTTTGCTCTTTTTAGTTGTTTTTTTATCTCAATTTGTGCAATTTTTCTCAGTGTTCTTTTCCGTTTGATATATTCAATTAACAGAGTTAATACAGCTAACAGTATACCTCCACCTAATAGTACAAACATGCCTTGTACATCATCTAATGTAAGTTGACGATCTTCAGGAGAAATTAATGTTGACTAAAAAAAAAAAAAAATATTTTTTAAATCATTAATTTAACTATACATATAATATAATTTAAAGTGAAATACATTCAATATTTTATTCAAGATAATTAAATACATAAATGCAAGAATCCCAGTCTCCTCATATTTTTAATAACAACATATTTCTTTTAATTTATGTCTTGTTTCACAACAACATGGCTTATTTACAGTTTTTATATAAGTATTTGTTCTCTATTGCTCAAACTTCATAAATTATTAAAAAAATTAAAAAAGTTTTTACTCAGCCAATCTTATGTACAAGAAATAGTAAAATGGAAACTAGTAAAGAGGATTTTTAAGATCTACAAGTTTGAATATTTTTAGTGTACATAATTATAAGGAGGAAAAATGTATAGTATGTTTATTATTAGTAAAATAACCCATTAAAAGAAGAAAAAGTAATTAGAGATATGTAGTTGACTGGATTTAATTTTACTTTATAATTTTATATCTTTTATATAATATATTAAACAAAATGAAATGATTTTTCTTCAGTAATATATAGTCATTTTAAAAATTACTGAAAATGAAAATTGAGATTTATCATTTTTTTGACTACATAATTAGATTAAGTGCACACACATTTAATAATACATTTATTATAATTTATAAAATATTATTGGGATTACAATTAATTTATTATCTTGAATACTGTTAAAATATAAAAAATAATTATGTTATCTACCAAGAATTATACCTTTAGTTATCTATTAATTATTTAAAATCAAAGAATTTACTTACTTTTTTGATTCCAGAATGCTGTATAATTTCCCATTGGATATCATTTATTATTTTGCTTAATAATCCACTTTGTTGTGACCGTAGTATGAAGTTATTGAATATATTACGAAACATAAATTTCTTCTTATATGCTATGGCAATATTGAATGGGACATAACACTCTGAAGCAACATGAAGGAATATTTTCTTATTTTTATACCTAAAATACAATGAGTTATGACAATATTCACAATTATTTTAGTTAATATGATGTTTAATTTAAATGCATACATACTTTTGTAGAAAGTTGTTTTGAGATAAATAATCAAGTGAAATTTTTGAACCTAGAAAAGCATAATCAAAAATATATCTAGTTTTGACTATATAATCCACGGTATCTTCTAAATTATTCATGAGCTTTACTTTTGACATCAGTTTTTTAGAAATTGTGTCATTTGTTATGCTCAAGTATTGTTGCCAGCCACCCTTATCTAAAATATAATTTATAGTTAAATCTTAACTTCAAGTTTTTTTTTTTGTCCGTAATAATGTTATTCCTTTTTAAAAAAAGTTATGTAAAATTTGTTAAATGATTTTTATTTTAGTGTAATATATTAAAGTATGTTTTATTAAATGTATTATTTTATGCCACAGTGTATGTATAATGCTGTAGTCTATAATTTATATTAAATAAAATATTTTATATTTTATAGTTCACAATGTTTACAATTATGCATTCTGTTCTTATCCTTTCTACTTATTGTGTTCTTAATTTATGTAATAGATATCTGGTGTAATATCTATATTTTGATGTATATCCATATGATTTATATATTAATTTAACTATTCTAGATTATTTTTAAATTGCAATTATTATATCTCATTAAGCTCAATTATTTGTTTTTGGTTATATTACTTATGACTAAATATATTGATATAAGTAATAAGCAAAGTATATAGATTATGAAAAAATTGACCATACCATTAAAGACTAATACATGTAAGTTCTAATATTTTTGTATAAAAAATCATTACAAATTAGTCAGATTAGTTAAAATCTAATGCTACAACGAATAAACTTTTTTAAACTAGTGTTCAATAAAATTACTGGAAGACATCACATTTAACCTTGACAACAAAGTTTATTAACTATCCTCTCATAGTGCACATTACAAAATGGTCCTGTCATGGTAAAGAAACAGCCATGGAACATAAATTATGTTCTTTGTGTTTTCATACAATATGATCTGCTTAAATGGATATTATCAGTGGCGTTGAACCAGGTAGAGCAGATTTTCTACATCTTAATAATATTTAATTAGTGGGCGAGTTGGTCCAGTGATTGGGTAAGCGAGTCATCAGTTATTGTGGACTATACACAAACACAGTAAGTAATCAACTCGTTAGTACATATAACCCAGTAGATTCAGGTGCGGCCTTAGTTTTATGCCTAGGGGAGCACTAATATTTTATTGTAGATATATGTATAAACTGAAATACAATTAGCCAGAATTATACAAATATGAAATTATACATAATTACATCAATGAAAATATTGTACATAATAAATATTGAGATGTCTTGGGGGAGGGGGAAGAGTATGGCTCATATGTTCCCTCTAAAAGCCGCCACTAAGTAGATTAATTCACATATCTTATTTATCTAATAGGTAATATTATTAATATTATTTATGTAATAAGGCTATAAATTCAATTGTGAGTTGGTGGTTAGATCTCATCTCATTTTATGAGCACGTCTCCTACCTAAATTGTTTGATTTTGGCGTCACTGAACTGTGCTTTTATGTACTCTTTAAATTTAAATGTTTTTGAATAAATATTTTGACATTATATGGTCAATGAATTAAATTCGAAAACTAAAAAAATGAACTTGTCTTCCATTTTTCAGTAATAATGACCAATTGTTACATTTCAAAAATATAACACGATCCATTGCCGAGTGTATTTTATTAAATGTACCCTCAACGAAATAACAGACATTAAACGATAGGTAACTAATCAAGTTCACGAAATGGTTATTTTTCAAGTATTTGAATATGGAAAATACGAATTACTTAGCATTATAACTCTGTAGCCTTTATCAACCAACTGGTACGATGTATCCACTGTAACTGGTTGTTCCGGTAACGTTATGAACGCTATGATCGAGCTAGTATAAGATGTCGTTATGATTATCGTAAAAATCCAATACGTCCCTTGTAGGAAAACAAATAAACACACAGTGGTTGTTGAATCGTTGGTCAACTCAAAATTTGATTTCGCACTACATTGCGATGAGCGGGTCGGCGCACTTACCGACGAAGAGTCTAGTAGACCCCATTGTAGTGTTCGTCCAAGATTTCACATCCTTAAATGTGAACAAATTCGTGAACGTCCCAAACATGTAACAACACATGCTCTCTAGTTGTTTGGGACTTTTACACAAAGTTTTCACATCGCGGTTGTTCGTGAACGCGATGGGAAATATTGCAATCACGTACGTGAACACCACCATCATCCAAACACTCCAATGGAAAGGACCGAATATCGCCCTGTACCTGTATAGACCAGAAATCAGCTTGCTGTGTCGTGAATAACATATTGATATGAGTTTAATTTTTTTTTTTTCACGAGCTCAATATTTAGTACGAAGAAATATATTTTCATGTATTGTGTTTTTACAATGTTACGAAAAAAAACCCTGCAGAATATTATAAACTTAAATAAATATTTTCCAATGGATAATAGATTCAATGATTTCTGATGATTCTACACAGAATACAAATAAGTAATTATTACTTAATAAATAATGTTTTAAATTATAAAATAAAAATTTTGTTTTTACAAAAGGTCTTCTATTCGTAAAATCACAAAATATTTTGTATAAATTAATTAGTTTGCGATACTGGTATTTGAGACAAAAATCAAGAGGAGTTTGCAAATAAATGTTTATTATTATTATTAAGTAATAACAATGTAAGTATTTCAATTAGAATATATATTGCTGACTGAATTATCCGGTCTCATTTCGGGAGGTAGATATTTTACTATTTTAGATAAGAGAAATTACAATTTCCATGAAGTTGCGCAATCGGCACAAGCCATTTATGCCAGCCATGAGTCTCAGTTGACAAATACACAAATAATTATTACGAGTCATTATAATTAATCAAAATATCTCCCTCCCCTCCTAATTTAATTTATTTGCATGCTTTAGAAGTTCAACACTTCATCGTTCACAATTATTAATTAGATTTTCACACTACAGTGATGTATGGTGGGGGATAAGGTAACGGGGGTAAAAAGCGCTTACAATCACTTTTTTAGTTCATTATCTTACATAGATATACTCATTAAAAATATGATGACACGTGGGTATACGGTTGCATAGTTTCATGTATCTATTAAAATATTCATTTTTCTACGTTTCTCAAATTATTGTCAAAAATATTTCTAAAACTAATGAGCAAAGAAGTAATATTATCTACAAATATGAAGTCACCACCTGATAAATTATGTCTACTTTTAATTCAATATTCTTGTATCATGTAAAATTTACTTACGTAATATGAAAATATCAAGCGATTCATATCATGAACACTATATTTATTTTCAATTAGATTTTCATGATTTTTTGTTTTAAAAAAGTATTGCAGAAAAAAATTTTAATTTATGTTCTAAATGCCAACAATTTTTTCTTAACTGTTCATCACTGCTCGTAGTAGTTAATAAAAAGTTCGTCTAACTATAACTCATATAATATTATCCTATTAATATGAACTGTTTGCTTACTTGGATAAAGCGAATGATCCCAGAGACATGAATGTCCCACAGTCTTGCAATACAACAGGAGAAAAGTCAACTAGGGAATATCGAGCATTGGTCATGTACAAACCCGATGTACCGAAATCAGCCTTGGAAGCAACCAAGTCACCAATGATACGATCTTCGGATTCGTTTCTAAACAAAACCATGTCTTGGTCAATTATTCAGTACAAAAGTATGTAATTGCATCCTGGTACATGTGGTAAATTATTCAATGGCAACGAACGGTGCAGTTAAATATAATTTGTTGGGATTTCAAAACAACAGCAGTCAACAAAAAAATAAAACATTTACTAGTAAATTTCTTATTTTAGATTTTTAATTTTTAATGAAGCTTTATTAGGATTGATTTCATAATGATATATTTATTCGTTAGTTTTGGTAATCAGTCAATTTGACATCAAGAATAAGACAAAAAACTTAGAAAAACAATAATATAATTTTAGATTCGTTAAAATAAAACCTTTAATTTCTATACTCACTTGGTTGTCGATAAGGTAGCGTCGTGTATTTCCAACGTGAAATTCAACACTCTCGCTAATATTTTTAACAATTTAATTTCGACCCCGTCCCACGATGCCGATTGTTCTTGATACGCATCGCTTTTGGTGAGTGAACTGAACAAAATTGCAATTAGAACATATTAGATCTGTCGTTACAAATATATAGCGAATAGCTCAAGTCTCGAGTAAATAAATATATACCTCCGAAACACTAGCGGTGGATTTTCAATGGCTGACACAACGAATCGGTGTCCCTGAAATCCATTAATTAATTTGGTCGGATACAAATTGACCTCTGGTCTTGTAAATCTGTTTATTTTCCATGTGGTCAAAATTTTTTGAACACTACTTCCTAAACCATCCGTGTACATTTCGTGAGTATATAATTTAATATCAGCTACTTCCTGTAGAAACAAAAATCGCGATTTTTGCTCATGTTATCCGTAAAACGTAACGAGGAAATAGGTAAATTGGTTCTTCTATACTCAGAATGATTTTACACAGCGATAAAGTAGATTGTTAATACGGAAACCATCAGGGTTCGAAATTTCATGTTAGAAAACAATGATATACGCGCATATGCGTCAAAATTATATGTGGTATAATATTTAATAACAATTAGAATAATGTACAATTTTTCCTTTGGTTTTAAGCCACGTCCAAGCCAAGAAATATTTATCGTAAACATGTGTAAACCTTTATATTGTGTTGTTTTGATAAATAAAAATAAAAAATAGCCAAATAAGCGCTTAATAATTGAGCATAGAATGTAAAATGTTCTCATATAAGATTCGTTTTTAAAAGGCTTTTTGAGTCATGGTTATAGTTTTATAATTTAGAGTTAAATGGCTTGAGTTCAGGCGCGTACACAAGGGGTGATTTTGGGGATTCGATCTTCCCTCTTCTAAATTCAGGAAAATGATTAAATATGATTCAGAGAGTAAAAGTGGTTTATAGATTATATAATTATGAAAATGTAAAACCCTTCTCAAAATATTTTTTTGTGTATGCGTTTGCTCTTATTTATCTTTCACTGCCGGGATTTAATAAAAATATTTATTTTAATAAAAGTTTAATTTCTTGTTTAGATACCAATTAGAAAAACTCGCAATAATGCTTAATTTATTATACCACATTGCTCAACTAATTATTTAAGAAATGAACCACCCTCCAGGTTGATGAAAATTGTCAATGAAGATCCGTTATTCTTCTTCTAATTTATTTATTTTTTCTATTGCTGTTTCTTTTTATTCCTCCTAATATTATATATATATATATCTTTTAATTATTTTTTATGTATATATTAAAACATACCTTTGTATAAATTAGACTCTGCCCGTTTTTGTTATTAAAATCAAAACCAAAAAATAAAATAAAATTTCTCGTTTAAATTATTATAAATAATTAGATTAGATTATAGTTATAATATTAATAAATATTTAAAATGGCATTTATAGAAAAAAAAAAAATTTAAAAATATAGAAATATATTAAGTCCCGAGTCCTAGTTATAATATAAAAAGTTAAAAGAATTAAGCTGTACCCTTCTGTTCACCAAATCACTGCGATACTTATTACCTATTTCCCATCAAATCGTTTATAATTATGTATTTGTTGTATAATCGATTACATTTTTGCTATTTTTTTGTAAAGCTTGTCCAGCAGAAGCAATCAATAGGTTCATAATATTTTGCGATGCGCGGCTGTAGAAAAATTCTCGTATTTGCCAACTCGACCCAACTGTCACTATGAATACTTTGCTATCAATCGCATGACCAAACTTGGATTCAACGATTTCAGGATTGCGACAAAAAATAATGTGGTTTGTACATCCGGGCTCCGAAATCATAATTATTTTCGAAGAATACTTTTGAATATGAAAAATCTCGTAGGACACCGTATCGAAAGACAATAAAATGACCCGCAAAACGTCCTGAAAGAATTAATATTGTAGTTTTACATATTCGTATAATGAAAATCGTGTGGTGTCAAAATTAAAGCATAAATGTCTTCTGTTGATGATAGGAGTTATCGGAGTCGAGATCGTGTAGACAAACACAAAAAATAAAAAACATGTCTTGGTAAAACCAACATATTTCTCGCTTCGTTCAGAATTTAAAAGTATAAAAGTTAAGTGAAACACTTATGCAGCGAAATTCAACATTATTTAATATATACTTACTTTATAATACAAATCAAATTCGAATAAATCATCATAAATTATATTCACATGACATTTGCTAAAGTACCTTTTGACAACTTCATTTATCAAAGAGCTTAAAACTTTAATTTCTGGTTTTTCTTTCTGATTACAAACAACTATTAATATGATGTATTTAAAACAAAATAAAAATATTTATTACTTACATTGATTAAATTAAGTTGTGATATTCGATTTGCTAAATGATCAAAGATTATAGTTTGATTGCCATATGTTGTAAACGGTATGCTAAATAAAATTATAAGTAAAATCTTTGAAAACTGCATTATTTATTTATTTCTCGATTGATATGAAGTTAAACACATTGAATTTTATGTGTACTGAGAAACCTTCAACAACATTTACTAGTTCTGATTTTATTTCAGATTATTTATTGGGTTTAATAAATACCATTAAAACACCAAATGACAATTTCATAGTTACCCTAACATGTCATATTTAATATTAACAGCATAGTACATATAGCTATGATATCCAAGTCACACTATAATTAGATATAGGTATATAATATTTCTTTAAATCGATTTATGTCAAAACTCATTATTTCACGTAATACGGCAATGAATATTTAGTTCTAATTTGAAATTCAATAAATGCATGCCTTCGAACTGAAATATTTAATACTGATAAGAATTATTGGATTGATTAGATAAAGATATTAGTTTGTAGTTTTGTACTCATAATTTTTAAGCATAATATATTTTTAACGGTCAAACATAATAGTATAAATATTAACATTCGAGAAAAACAATATCTATGTAAGTATACACTTATTACATATAATACAATCTTATCTATTTTATAAATCAATTTTACTAATGATAATAATTTAATCAGTACAATGAGTATGGCTTATTACACACAAAACGGTCATTACTTAAATATATATATATATATATATATATAATAACATATTCTTATTAAACAAATGCACTTATGCACAAAAAATGATTACTCATAAAAAAACGATGTTTTAAGCTTTTTTTGGATACGGGCAGTGAGTACGTTTCTAGATGGAATCACATAACTAGGTTCAATAACTTGAATTAAATTTTTGAATCCATTACATTCAATTATACTGGTTGGGATTAAATCTTCACATAACATATTGCATATGGCTTCTGTAATAAGTTCCTTGCGACTGTTGGATAAAGGCCTCATTGATACAGGGGCTAATGCAACATCACAGAGGCGTATTCTCTTGTTAGCAGAAAGATCAGGTTTCAAACTTGAAGATGAAGAACATAAACTAGAAGTTGAAGCACAGCAACTATGTGGAGAGGTAGAATTATGAATGGAGTTGTTAGGAGTCAATTTACCATCTTGGTCTATGTCACTACCATTTTCATTGGTACAAGACCTGAAATACGTTTTACAACAGATTTAATATTACCAGAAATATGTGGTAAATTTCCTATGTAATACGAAAAGTGTATATTTTATATATAACATATATAAATGGAGTAATATATTAAGTTGTTGATTTTATGTATGATGTACATAAAAAATACAAAAATCGGAAAATCCCGTAGCCAATGAACACTACGTAGATTAAGAAAACGTTCTTATTAGATTCCGAGTGAAGCAAGTTTTTTTCATATATATATATATATTTATTTTTTTGTCTGTCTGTCAACACGAATTGGTACTAAGTATTAAAATAAAAGATGGTTTTTGATAGATATTTGATAGAATTAGATATTTCGTCGAAATCCAATTTCAATAATTTCGAATTATCCGAATATGGCTACTAATAACTATTAAACCATATTAGTTAATTATTTATTTAATTATTTAAAAATATTAACAGCCGGGACATGAATATTAACAGAAATATGTGTAAGTCAACGTATTTTTTCTTGCTGTAATAGGTAGTTATTAGCAGGCCTGACAAGAAGAGGGGCAGAGATGACCCCCCTTCATGGGCCCGGAATTTTTGAGAAGACCCGGAAATTAGGGATTACAAACTATTAAAAATTAAATTCAATTAATGATAAGAATTTAACGAAAACGGCAAAAAAAATTAAGATATACCTCCTGAGGACGGGTTTCTCTCTCCACTGCCCTGATTATTAATAATTTTAGTAAACATGTCTTTATTAAATTGGTTGATTAAATCGAACTCAATTTTGACTTCAGAATTTCCAAGCCAAGAAAGAACTCTAGCAAAAAAGTTAAGAAATTATTTATGTAATGACGTCAATGATGGTGAGGATAATACTAATTAGTGATAGTAGTACAAATAATTTATATAAGTGTGATGGTGATTCTAATCAAGATTTTACTGAAAATGTTTCTTATAATGAAATATATTCAACATATTATGCTAAATATCCCTGGTCAATAGTGAAGAATCAAAAATTAGGCTGTGGTATTTGTAGAAATGTTCAAAAATTACCAACTTACAAAACACAAGGAATTAAGTAAGTTCCTAAATAATTAGAAATTGTGATGTGAATGCCTATGGAGTGACCGATAAAGATAAAAGACAATCTTTAAAAAAAAAAATTCACAAACATAAAAATAGTCAGTCATAAGAGATGTGCACATATTGTAAAAACACAACAGGAAAATATTTTTCAAAAATCTGTATCAAGGGGCGTTTCTATTGAATTTAAGAACATAATGAGAGTATTTAATACCGTATAGTCACATTATTAAAAAGAGTAGACCATTTACTGATTTACCATATGATGTTCTACTTAAAATGTCAAACGGATTAAATATGTGTCACATATTACACAGTGATCATTTTTGTGCTAATATTTCTAGTCATATTGCCAATAAAATGAGAGCAAAAGTTACAAATTTTATTTTTCAATGTAATTTTAAAATATCCATATTAATTGATAAAGCTACTTCAGTGTCAAAAAAAATTTGTTTAGTAGTTTGTATTAGAGCTTCCATAGGCGTAACTTGGAAATTTATTAGGGGGAGGGGCAAAAATATAATTACATATCTAACGAAAAGGGTGTCCGAAGATAAACTCCGCTTCACTACCTACATATTAGTATATAAAATTATTCATTTTCTAACACTATGTTAGATAAGCGAAAATTTAAAATTAAGATTTAAAAAAAAAAAAAAATTATAGTAATAGCTATAACCAGTTGTTTTGTACTTATTTTAAAACAAGATATTTTATCAGAGGGGGCACTGCCCTTCCTAATTTATTCTAGGGAGGCGATTGCTCCTATTGCCCCCCCTCGTTTACGTCTATGAGAACTTCTATGGATACTAATAATGATGCAGATCCAATTACATTTTTTTTTTAGATTTAATAGCATTAAAAAACACTAAATCAGAAATCATTGTTACTCAAGTTTTATTGTGTTTTAACAAATATAAGTTTTTGATACAAATGTATTATGTTAGAGTTAATAAAAGTTTATAATAATTTGTTAATCGTTGATTATTGGTATAAAAATCTGTTGTAAATATGTATAATTTTATGATAATTTTTAAAAAAAATTTTATGTTGTAAGAATAGAACTTGTTTTATTTTGTTTCTATCTACCACAAATTATGATTTTGTGTTGTTATACCTTTTTTGATTTTATTTGAAATGGTATATTTAAGCTATATTGGTATTTTATAGTGTAATAATTTTTTTTTTATATTTCTTTAAATCATGCAGATTCAAACTGATAAAATTTTGCAAAAAAAAAAAAAAAAAATTAAATAAAAATATAATTATATCTACCTATATTAAAAGTGAAAAATATAAAAAAATAAAACACCAAACTAAAAATAAATAAATATTTAGGTACTATTTATAAAACTGTTTTATAAAAAAGGTATAGGGGTTCAACTTACCTCCACCCCTATCCCCCAATGTGTATAAGCCATAATACCTACATGAGAAATATAAAAATATAGACATCCTTCAACTTATTTTGAGCCACTTCGACCACTGGTCATACATTTAAGTATTTTTCATCATAATTTATACTTCATTATTGATACACAGTTACGGGGAATATATATTTTACAATTTTTATACATTTTGTTTGTTTCGTGGAACCCCAATGTACGAGGTAAGAGTATGTAACTCCAATTAACCTCAATTTTTCAATTATTTATTGAATGAAAAACTAATAAGTACTCCAAGTAATGTTTCAAAGATGATTTATGATTATTTTTTTATTATAATTACTACACTCAATATTCACCTTGCAGAACCCTTGAGACTGTCCCATGCAGGGCCGGCTTTAAATACGATCTGAATGTGCGACGGAACAGGGCGCCAAAATCAGAAGGGCACGTGAGAGGCGTCAAAGTTAAAATTAAATTTGATCAACCGTTGGCGACACAAATCATCTACTATAGATAGAAAAAAAATGTCAAGATATGATTCAATATAAATTTGATTACTATTATAATTATCTTTATTTATTATTCTATCGACATGCAAGCAGTGCCGCAATTACCGGGTGAGCAAGGTGTGCATTGCACATCGACCCCCAAAACGTTATAGGCCCCGAAACACGATAAAACACGATGTATTATTATATAAATTTTAACTGAAGTAAATTAATAAATGTAAAAAATGGATTTATCATATTATTAAATATTTATAATCAAATAACATACCCAATTACTAACTAGTTGCCAATGACCAAATACAATACCATTGATTATAAATACTATTATATTGCTAAAGTATTTATAATCCTATGGTAATATTAATTCTTAGAACAGAAATAGCAAAAAAATAATGCAGGTCTACATTAATGCAGGTTATTTAAAATTAAAGATCCACTAGACTACCTTCCATAATATAAATACCAGTCAACATATTTTATTTATAGTAGGTAAATATTTAGGCCCCAAATTCAGATTTGCATACCAATCCCACAGTGTGTAGTTGCGGCACTGCATGCAAGGATAGGCTACTTTTCAATTACAGTTTTATAAACTATCATTAAATTATTTCAAGTATTATTATGTTTGTTATCTGAATGATTTACAAATATGTGGCAAACATGCACGTTTGAAAAATTATTTTGAGCATTTATGATTATGAACGTGGCTCGTAATACAGGTATATATAATGAGGCACCTCTAGTTACCAAAACTGCGCCTGTTTTAGTTATATGTTTAAGTCATTTAAGATTGCCAAAATAATTCTTGCACCAAGCGCTGAAAGAGCTAAGGCCGGCCCTGGTCCCATGGAATCCTTGGGTTCTGCGAAACATACTCCGGGAAACGCTGATTTAGAAGAACTAAATAATAGATAATATAAATAAATTTTGAAAGTTCAAGTACAATATTATTTCATTATTTTTGGGGGTTTAAGCCATTTAAGACACACCTATATAAACTGATGATCAGCTATATTATATCATTTTTCCTATAAAATGTCCCGACCGTAAATAGTTTTAAGTTTAATTTAAACTAGAATTAATGGATATATTTATGTTTCTAACTATTAAAAATGGAATTTTCAAACACATTGTTTAAACATCTAAAGGTAATTTTAAATTTGTAAAATGTTTTTCAATCATAGCGATATAATTATAAAGTTTTTATACACTGTATTATAAATGTAAATTATATTTTTATTCCGATCATAATATGCGAATTTCGAATATTCAATAAAAGACACAGTACGTACGTGTAAATTAATCCCTCTGATGACCAAAATAAAGCGTGGAGTAGCCGGTACAAATCCATTTTATAACCTAATTCATAGTTATATTATAAGCCACTTGTCAAATAATTTCCATCACGATCTGCAGGTATCACCAAGTATAACAACCTTAATTATAATTTAGACTCTCGTTACATGCCTAGTAAATTTGTACGTGTTCAGTTACAATTAAAAACTTAAGAAACACTTGAAAAGTTGAAAATATCAATTTTCAAAAATATTATACGAATTCTGTAAACTTATAACAGTCGTTTTCCGACTGCGACAGTTCAACAATTCAAAAAGAGTTGTACAAATAAAATGTATAGAACAAATAAATATAATCTACTTTCGTTATGTTCTGAATTTAGGTAATATATTTTCTGATGCTAATTGTTGAAAATATGTTTTTAGCATTAAATTTAAAATGTTTGTGGGAAAATCGTAATAAAACTAATAATTATTCCCATATGTTAGCTCACCTTTTTTGTTTTAAACGTACTGCGCCAACGCCGTCTTTAGATCCATGTTGTGATTTATAATGATTCCACAAACATGTCGTAGACTTTGAATGTTTTATAACTCTCTCGCACAGCTTACAAACTGCAATAGTGTTATTCGTATCACGTGTAAAAAAATGCCAAATTTTACTAGGAGCCATTACAATACTACGACGAGTGCAGTATTTATACAACCTTTACATGAGGAGATCTTGAAAGCAAATAAAGAACTGTTGTGGCTGTAACTGAATGTGTTCAATATCATGTCTGAACTATCGATCATTAAGATAAGAAATTATATGGGTTTTTATACTACTTAAATTTATGTTATATAAATATATATATATAAAAGTTTATGTTTATACATGTACTCGAAATCTACTACCCCTGTGAATACATATATATATATATATATATATATATATATTACTTATTCCAATGAATATATATATGTATATTTTTACAACGAAGCATCCGAATGTAACATGTACAGTACCAATATTATTGTTGGCTATTATAAAATTTATATTCGATTAGTTTAAAACCAAATCATAAAATTCGATTACCCAAAATAATTGAACTATTATTGAAAAATGTACAGGTTGTTAGTAACTATATACCATATTGCTCCAATTACTATCAATGTCCAAGGTCATACAAAAATGTTTTTTCTTTATACCCTAAAAATTACCATGTACTTAAATTAGGTACAGTGGCGTATACATAACTTTTTTATGGGGGGGGGGGGATTAATTGCAAACAAATTATTATAGAAGGAAAATTCCTAAAACTAAGTACCTGTACATTTAAATAATAAATAATAAAAGATATATATATACCGAGTGTTCACCAATTTAGAGAACACTGAATTTCTCGGCCGGATTATGTTGGAATAAATCGAATTTTTTTTACAAGCTAGTGGTATATAAATACACATTTTCAGATAAATTTAAAATTTTTAACCTTTTCGGTACGCGCATGCGCAATGCAACTTATTGTCTTTTTTTTTTATAACAACCGGTATTTTTGATATTAAATTCGGATAGACTAATTATAAGTCGTTTTGACCATTTAACCATAGCTCTAAAACCAAAATTGACTGAATGAGAGCCATTTCAATTTTAATAAATAACACATTTTTACAATTCTTTATAAAATGCATAAAAACATTTATAATTATTTATTATTGTTTAATTTTTGAATACTAACCGACCGAGAAATTCAGTGTTCCCTAAATTGGTGAACACACGGTATTAAATGTGTCAAAATAATAATTTACAATAAATCCTTGCAATATTTTTTTGTTTCCTTATATTAAGAACACTATTTTATACAATTTTAAAAAGACCTATGGGGGGATCTGACCCCCACATCCCCCTTGTATACGCCCTTGATTAGGTAAACTCACCATTAATAAAATATGATATACATTTAAGTATACATATACAACAGTCTTATTTTTTAAACATTTGCCTTAGTTTTTAAAATTGTATACATTCATTTTATAAATCTACTTTGTAAGTGTTTGAATAAAAAAAATTGACTGATAAAAGATTTTTTTTAAATAACATTTGAAAAATTATACATAAAACCCGTCGTGCTTACACAGGACTTGTGATACGTAAAAATCATGATAAGCTTAGCATTATGAAAACACTTAAAAATATTGATTATTAATTAGTCCTTTTATTTTATTTTGTAATAATCTCATATACCATTATATTCGTATGTTATGTGTTCTGACATCAGACCGAAAACCTACATTTTCCAAATATAAATGCAATGGTTAAGACTGCCACGGATAATACATAAAAAAAAATAACCGGAAAGTGTCACGGGCGACACTCGGATTTGTGAAAACATATTATATTATATGAGCTTGATATATAAATTTATTTTCTGTAATTTGAATTAAATATTCTTAATTTAAAACATGTGCATTAAAATTATTTGTATGATAGAATTGAACATTTTCAATATATAAATGTATTGTGTCCATCAGGGCCGGCAGAAGGCGCGTGTGACCTGTGCGACCAGTGCTCTAGGCGACAATTTTTTTGAAAATTTTAGGGGCAGCATCGTTTATAAATAAAAATATGTATTTTTTATCATTACTTATTATATTAACTCATTTTAAATCCAAAATAATGCATATTATATTATTTTGACTGGTACTGTGTCATATTATATTATGTAATATTAAAAAACAATATAATATGGAATAACCGCTAGCGTTGTTGCTCGGCGCAATTCACGATTATCTTTACGGTTTCCAGATAAAGTTCTCCAAAAAACTATGTACAGTAATAATTATTGCACAATAATTTTTATCGATGATCAAAGTAGTTTGCTTGTGACGAGTGATGACAATACGTAGTCTATTGATTGTACATATTTTTACTGTACATCTGTTCATGCAATTTAAAAGATTTTCTTTTAACTATTCGTTAGAGAATCATTAAAGACAACGATCATAGAGTGCTGCGCATATTTTTTAGTATATCTATACGTCATTTTCTTATTTGGTGAGTGTTTTTCTATTGTAAATAATAATTGTACAATTATCGTTATTATTAAATGGATAAATTATTTCAATACAATGGAAAATTAAAAATACTTTCCGATGTCTGATTTTAACTTTTGAATGTATGTAACCGACGTATGAATTTATTGATATTTTATCTACACTATTAACAAAGCAGATTCTTAATATTCAATACACAAAACTTTAAAATTAATACTTTATTTTTAAATAATAAATATTTTTTAATTTATTTTTAATAGAAAAATTAAAAATAATAATTATTGGAGATGTAGGTGTGTTATTTTAAAAATGTATAACACTAAAATAAATAAATTGATAATTTTTATTTTTTATAATTTTTATTAAATAAAGGTATTATTGTGCCTTAATTCAATCTTCTTATAATTAATTAAATTCCTCTAAGTTTTTTTTAAATTTTCGGAAGACGAAATTTTATAATTTAATCTCCTACAATATAACCCAGTTTATAATTAATTTTGTTAATTTTGTGTAACTAACTATATATTAATTATAAGGCAATCATTTATTGAAAGGGGCTGCATTTTTTTATTTACACGGGGTGGAAAATACTTAGCACCGGCCCTGGTGTCCATTTATAAGAGGTAATTTTTAATTTTGGTACCAGTTTGTAGTGTCCACATCCACTATTAGGAGTGTTCATTATTTAGAGGTTATAAAGGTCCACTATTGAGAGGTGTCCATTAATAGAGGTTTCATTGTACCATAAGCAATTTTTTTTTATAAATGTACACACATTTTAGACGATACTATTGAATATTTTTTTCGCATAGTAATTTCAAGTACTCCCTCCGAGTCCACTGACATGGATTTTAAATTATTTGTTAGAAAAAAAGAGATACCATATTAATGTGATTCAAATATTCATATTCTACAACAAGTAATTGGTTTGAAAAATCTTTTTTTAAGTCATACATAGGATTAAATATATAAAAAAAAAATTCGATATTGAGTAATCTAATTTATAAAGAGCTGCAGATTGCAGATTCCTGCAGTTTAGTAGATAACAAATGCCTTAAGACTTGGTAAACAGCATAGCTATATCCGGTTATAATACCAAACAAATCAATAAACAAATTACAACATGGTTGAAATGCTGTAAGATTCGTCCGAATATATTTAAAAAATGTTGCCTCATCCAGATGAAGGTCTAGAAATAATGTATGAAATTCTCCGTGCTTATTTATTTTTACAATGTTATGAATCCATAAAGGTTTTTTTTTCTTCCTCATCTACGATACTTGCTATAAACAAGATAAACAAAGAGTTCATTTTCGGAAGAAAAGTCCATAGTGATTTAAAACAAAATAACAAAATAGGCTTTAAAACCACAACAAAATACGCACTGCTACACTTAACTACGATTTGAAACGTAGAGTGACGATTCTCTGGTCGTAGAATGCAAACAAGACGAAACGAGATTTTTCACCATTACGTTACGTCATGTCTCTAACTATTTCCAAACCGTACAAAGTCTGAACGGAATGGATCTGGTGTGCGCGCTGCTATATCCGACGTCCTTGCTTTGTCTGAAGTCTTTGCGGTCTGGTTATCGTTTATTATCACTGGTAAACAGCTGATCGGTTTAACCTCTCCCGTTCGCTTTTTCGAAAGTTGTGACACACCGCCGCGGTGTAAACCCGACTCAACGTGCGCACACTTGGCACCAGTGCATTGCTTAGAGTTCTCATACGGCCCGAATACTTGACACGGGATACCGTTCGCCCCCGTTTTTGTACTACAAATTTGTTGCTACTTTTTTTTCATATCCTATTGCTTTACCACACTCTTGGTAAGCTCTTGGACGTCGTCGTCTTGTTCGTTTTCTCAGATTCACAATGCCACCTTTGGCCACTGCCGTGAAGCTACAGCCTGAAGACGATGTCAAATTGCCCGGCATTAATGCCGTGCTCCTCGGGCCGCCCGGTTCGGGTAAGGGCACACAGGTAAAAATAAATATATTTTTTGTTCGAGCGGTGTTATTCAACTGGTCGTAAAACGACATTCTTGTTAATCCATCGTTCTTTACTAGGCACCCAAGCTGTTGGAGAAATTTTACCTGTGTCACTTGTCGACAGGGGACATGTTACGGTCTGAAGTGTCCTCGGGTTCAGAACTTGGTCTGAAAGTGAAACATATCATGGAGACAGGTAAATCTACCAATACAGCCATGGGTAAACTTGCATTTCCTTTTTATATATTTGGAGTATTAAATTATATTCGATACTCATTTCATTAATAATACTACATTTTTCTAACCCTTAATTATAATATCTTAAATGTTTAAATCTGCCTAAATCTTGTCTTTATATTTTATTTTTTATACTTTATCTACTATAAGAGTACAATAATTAAGTGCTTACTTTTAAATTATATTTATCACCTATACAATAGTTTTAACTATTTTTCAATTAAACTCATAAATTGTATAATAAATTACCTGTACTATATTTATATATTTGTTTTATTACTGCCATTTAAAAAATTAACTTAGTATGTTATGAATAAATACATTTTTATAATAATTTTTGCAAAAAATAAATTAATAATCTTATATTTACATATATTTAATTTACTTACTGTGTTAACACCTATATCGCTGATTATACTTACTAAAGTTGTGTTAAAATAATAGAATTACTTAGTACTTATTGTTTATCATACTTTAATATATTCTTCTTATTATAAATTTTTAATTCTAAGTATAAATGTAAATATTTGAGTTCAATTATTTAATTAAATTTTTAATATGCCATATGGTATATTAGGTTCAATGTACAATGAACATTTTATTTTATTTTTCAAGTTTATTTCTTTAGTTATGTTTAAATGTTTGTTAATATTGCTATCTGTATATGCTTACTATTACATAATAAGAATTTATTATAATTATATATACTTAATTCTGTTTAAATAAAAAAATGTTAGAAAAAAATCTAAATGAATCAAAAAAGAATATAGATTAACGGTTACTCAATGCAATCAGTAGACAATCAGCATTACATAACTAGTTAACATAAGAATATGTATAGTACAACATTTTGTATTTTCATGATAGATTAAATGTTTTATTTTGAAATAACTAGAATAGTAACCAGTTATAATTTTTGATTTTAATCTTCTTTTTAAAGTTTTAAAGGTAAGAATTACTTACATTATTTATATATTAGTACATTTTTGGTTATGCTTTAATCATAATTTATTGAAGTATTTTATTGTACTTTTATATTATTATTGTGAGTAAGATTTATTATAGTGGTTTTGGAAAATAAGCTGACCTCGTTGATTTATTTTCTGAAATTGAGCACAAAGAAATATTATTAATGTCTTCATTATTTATTTGAATAGTATTAAATAATTCAACTATTTAATGTATCTTTTGATTATTATTTTGGTTTTAAATATGAGGCTCTTATAAGATAAAACTAGATATTATTTATTTTAATTGAACAATGAGAGTTGTCAAGTAACAATAATAACTTGTAATTTAAATTAATCAAATTATTTCCTAATGCTAACAGTGACTTAATGAAGAATAAATGTTACAAAAATGTTTAAACAATTGAAAGTTAGATGATTCTTATTATTATAAGTTGGGTAATAAGCTTAAAATGTTTATCTTTGGTATACAGTAGAAAACCCCTCTTCTCCGCCACTCCAGTTGATCCGATTATAGTATTATTGATATGAATATTGATTTTCCAATTTATACTATATGACTAAATATATTTATAAAATTAATTGCCCGTTTACTATTTATCTATTTTTTATTTATTTAATTTAATATATGTATGTAATTAAAAATAATATTTAAAATATATTTGGTAACATTTGCATTTGGTAATTGCATTGTCTGTAAATGTTTCTTTATATTCTGATAAACCGACCTTTTTCGCATTTCAACCACACCCTCAGTCAAGAAGGTGACGGATTAGAGGGGTTCTAATGTACATTATAACTGTATGAGTTTTATTAAGTTTATTGTGAATGAAATAGCTATAAAGATTTTGAGAATTTAAATTCATAAATAATTTATTCTTTAAGTGAAATTGCATTATAGTTAAAGATAGTATATATTTTTATGGAAACCATTTTAAAAATCATGGGGATTATTTTTTTAAATACAATTAAATTATTTTTAAATGGTTACCAAAATAATAATTTTTCTTTTTTTAAAACTTAGTTAAGTGTTGACACACTATACTATCAGAAACATTATTTTAAGTTATAATAAATTAATTTTGTTAGTATAACAATATTAATAATTATTATTGGAATAGTCAATTAAATAATAAAGAAAAATTCTATAGAAAATATTTATAATATCGAGTTACTTTTGAGTCGTAATTTTATTGACTTTGTATATAACTAAAAATGAATTTTTAATTTTAAACCAGTCATATTTTAGAAATATAATAATACTCCAGACAGCATTCATTTATTTATTTATTTACATAAACTATTTGTTTATTTACTTATATATTAATTTACTAGTGTTAACCATTTATTAATTTTTATTTTATTTTAATTAGTCATATTTTTGCTAGTATTTAAATCTCTTATCAATTTTATTTTTTTATGTACTTAATTGACTTTGATTTTTAGTAATTATTCGAACATAATGACAGTTAAATTAAGTTAGAATTATAAAAATATTGATGATTATATTTCTTACCTTGTATCTTAGTATTTTTATTTATTTTTTATTTAAAAGTATTTTAATAAATTCCCCTATTTGAAGTTGAGCATTAGCTAAAAGTTTATACTACTTCTTAAAAGTATGACCATATTTAATTATATATATTTTTAAATTGTTGCTGTTATTAGTTACCTAATATTATTTTTTAATAAATAATTGTTTTTTTTTTTTTTTTACAGGTGGATTGGTTAGTGATGATATTGTTGTTGATTTAATTGATCATAATCTAAATAAGCCTGAATGTAGACAAGGATTTTTATTAGATGGTTTTCCTCGAACAGTACCTCAAGCTGAAAAAGTAAAAATCAAAACAATTGTTTTTATTAATTAGTAATAATAATACTTAAATCAAATTTAATTTTCAGTTGGATAATCTTTTAGAAAAACGGAAAACTCAGTTGGACTCTGTTATTGAGTTTAACATAAGTGATAGTTTGTTAGTACGCCGCATAACAGGTCGTTTGATTCATCCTCCCAGTGGTCGATCTTATCATGATGAATTCCATCCACCAAAAGTTGATATGAAAGATGATGTAAGTTTAATTTAAAAGAAACCACGTAGAATAGTTAGTTTATTGATGAACGATTAATATATCTGGTTAATTATAAACCTATATATATTTAAGATTTACTTTTCATTTAAATTATTGATTTAATAATACGGTGTATTTGACACTAAGAGATACCCCTGAATATATTAGATACATAACCTGAAATTGAAATTTGGTCTTCAAGAGTTGAAAGGGTATATCGAAATCTAATTTTGGAATAATTTCAAAATATTATATTATCTATACGTGTGCAATGAAACTTTCTTTTTTTTTAATTTTAACACCAAATTTTTTTTACATAAACGAGTAAATAATATTTTTATAAACAACTTGTATAAACATTTTTTTTCTTAATTACTAATTGAACCAAGTTAGAGTTAATTGAAATTTGAACTTATGTTTTTAAATATGGTGACAGTTTTTACTTTTTACTATAAAAATGCATGTAAACATATTAATTTGTTAACATTTTATTATATGATGAAAAATAATTGAAATTTAAAATAAAAATAGGCAATATATTACTCAAAGTTTTAATCTTCATGTTCTAATCATGATATAATTTAATAATTCATAGCAAGTTAAAAATTATAATACTTAAATAAATTGTTGAATATTATGAACAAAATAAAACAATATATAATTATTAAAATAATACCTACTGTAAATATTGGTTATATAATTTCATTTGAATATATTTTAAGTTCAACAAATTAATGGTGATAAGTCAAACTTAATTTCTTAACCCATTTAATGTTTTATTAATAGTCAATTTAAAATTCTTTGTCATTTAAGGTTTGAGTTTCATATTGAACATTTACTTAATTCTTCTAGGTGACTGGTGAACCTCTTATTCGTCGAAATGATGATAATGTAAATGCTTTAAAGAAACGTCTTGATTCATATCATAAACAAACAACTCCATTAATAGATTACTATAGTAAAAAAGGTATATGTATATTATTTATTATGAAGAAGATAATAGGTAAATAATTAATAAGTATGATTTTTTAGGAATTCATTCAAAAATCGATGCTTCTAAAAGTGCTGGTGAAGTGTTTAAAATGATTGAAGATATATTTTTGCGTTGTTCAAGTTCAGCAAATAAAGATAGAGTAATATTTGTTTAAAACATTCCAATTTTTGTGTTTTATGTTTGATGTTATTGACATTTGAATCGTGTAAAATCATAAAGTTTTTAATTTTTTTTAGAAATTGTAATTGTATTGAAATGATCTGATATTGTAAATTCATTAAATAGAAAAACATGGTCAACATTAGTTTTCATTTATTAATATAAGATGTAAACTATTTTTGGTTTAATATAACCACTATTTTTGAGAGGAATTATGATTATTATCAAATTTAATATGATTTAGTTAATTTTTTTAGATTTATTTTATGGGTTTATATATACTTTTTTTATTATAATTTATTTACCGGAAATATATAATGAATAATATAAAAGTATAAAAATTAATTGTGTTTATTTTCATTTGATGAAATATTTTTTTTATTTTTATAAATATTCGTTTTGTAATTTTCAACTCTAATATTAATTTTTATTGGAAGTTAAATGGATTTGTAGAATATACTTTATCACTCATTTATTAATTTATTATTTGCACGTGCAGCCTCTACAGCTGTAAAGGTTATATATATGCACTCTACAGCCTATAATGAAAAATATACAATACTTGAATATGCATTAGCCAAATACCTACAGCTGAATGAAAATAATTATTATGTTGAGTTTATATTCATACCTCTTACTCTTATGGACCTATAAGTGCTTTGCTACATTATAACATAACATTTAGTTAGTGTAATGTTTCTTTTACACCTTAATTGACATTAATGTTAATACTAACTTTAATGTTTAAGATTTCTAAATGTAAATTTATAATCATTTTATATCCTTAGTCCTTTAGTTACTAGTATAGTACCTAGTTATGAATGTTGATAGAGAATTATTTTCATGTTAGCTAATATAAAAAAATTTCAAAATAAGAGTGTTAAATATAGATTAATTCTTGCTAGTATACCAAAATGTAAAGTAGGCATTAAAGTATGAGTGTTTGATACAAATTAAGTTATTTTATTTACTTAGGTTTTTACTCATTAGAATATGCTACTATTCAAGCTACCAAATTATTTATAAATTGTATATGAAATTATAGCTCATAGTTTAAAATACATTTGGAAACCGATTATTTGGCACATTCACAGGGTTATTAAATATTGTAGTTTTTTCATATAAAAATATTTATTTAAAAAAAAAAATATATAAAACCATCGATAACTTTATAATTAAAATCCAACATTTATGTCTATTACGATTTACAATAATATAATACAATGGTATAAATAAAATATTTTCGTTGATTGTAACTCATGACTAGGCTTAGGGACTTATAGTTCTATAAAATACATTAATATGCTTCTAAAATCATTAAAATATGCATAATAATATGTATTTATTTGCATTAAAAAAAAAATACCATATAGTACACAAAGTAAAATGAGTCCATCACAGGGGCGTATTTTAAGAGGGGGATAAAGGAACGATTGCCCCCCCTTGAATCCATATTTAATGAATCAATTATATGTGAGATATACATTTCAAATTTTTTTAATGTGGATCATTTTATAATGAAATCAAATTACACGTAGCTGTGAATATTGATTGAATTGGGCTTTTTGTCGGGTCCATACTTAGTGAAAAATAAAATAAAACACAAGCGTAACTTTCAAAACACAGACAGGTGTTAAAAAAAACTACATAAAAGTCAATTCTAAGCAGATTCGGCATTAGATAAAAAAAAAAAAAAAACTACAAATATTAAGGATTCACATGATTTAAATATTACCAAACATTTTACTTGTACATTTGTGCCCGAATTAAAGAAAAAATTTGATTTGCCCCCCACCCCCCTAGAAGTAAGTCTAAATACGCCCCTGGTCCACCAGATGTAAATGTATCTTTAAACTCCGAAACAAAACTTAGTAGTCGGCTACTCATAGATAGTTGTACTTTCGGCATTACACAATTTTACAAAATATATTCGTACGACGTTTTATATATGATTCGACGATGCGTGGTTGCGAGACGCAAGAACAATGACAGATAATAATCAACTGAACTTAACACTAAACAAATAATCTATTATTCAATATCGACATCCGGTCGATATCCAGCGAGTTAAATCGATAGATTAGATAGATTAGAACGGTCGATACGGGTTTATAGTATTATTTATACTTACAAAAAAATTATAACGAGATATGAGAGGTAGCTTGCATGTAACATATTACTCAAAGTATTAAGTCCTCTTAGTACATTTATTTTTTCGATCGGTTGAAATATGTATATATAGTTACATGTATTTATAGTTTTTAGTTTTAAATTTTTCAAATTTAAAATTATATTATGCAAGATAAGCATAAAAATTTTAAAATATGCATTCTCCTGCAAAATCTATCAAATATGCAAAAATATACACAATCAAATTTTAGATCTGATATGACACTGAGAAACAAATTTATTTCGCACTCTGCTATATTTAACAATAATTAAAAAAAGTATGCAAATGTTAGAAGTCCCTAAGCCTAGTTATAACAATAAATTATACTTTCGTTTCTAGAAGTGATCTGATCAAAGAAAACCTAATCTTTAAATTATATTTTATAATAATTATTCATAAGGTTGACGATTTATATAAAAAAAATAGATCATAGACATTCCTAAGTCTGTTAAAATAGGAAGGAAATTATTAGTAAAATGTAGTACTTACCAAAAATATTCAGGAACTAGAGTAATACCTAAAATAATTCAGGACCAACTAGTGTAGTACCTATGAAAATCCGGGACCCAACTAGTGTAGTACCTGATTACACTAGTTGGGTCCCGAATTATTTTAGGTACAGTACAATCTCGGTCAGTGGCGTGGCGAAGGGCTATATTTGAGGCACGTGCCTCAGTTTGAGGGGGGGGGTAGGTGTCCTATCTCACAAGGGACTTGGGCCCTATCTCACACTAAGAAAAGATTTGCTAAGTTACCATATATTCATTTTAATACTCGTAATTATAATATTGGATCGTAGTGCAGACGTGCAGTACCTACTAACACTCGCCAGTCGCCACACGGCATACGGATACGGTATCATTTTCCACAACGAGATGGACTTCTCATGACCGTGTCATCATTGTTATCTTTGAAAAATATAAAGCATTATATGCAACTTTAGAATGTTTACTTAAATCAACTGACAGAGTAACATCATCTGGTGCAAAAAATTTCTTGAACGTAATATCATCGTTTGATTTTGTTATAACAATGATATTATTAAGAAAAATATTTTCGATTACAACACCACTATCGAATTACTTACAATCTAAATCAGTAGACTTTATTGAAGCACTGCGTTTAATCAATACTTCTAAAGAACAATTAGCTAAAATGAGAAGTGACAAAAAATATGAGGAACTGGTAGAGGAAGCAAAACAATTTGCTAACCATCATAAACTAATAGAGGTCAACTTTAAAGAATCAAGAAAACGTGCCAAAAAAATTTTACCTGGAGAAAAAGCTTCAGATGAAATACAAAGCTCATCATTCGACAAGTATCGATGTCATACATACTTTGCAATTTTGGATAAAGTAATTACTTCAATTCAATCTCGATTCAATGACTCTAACAATATATTTAAAGATTTTACACTTTTATCCCCTGAAAGATTAAGGACATTTAAAAATGAAAATCAACAGCTTCCACAAGATAGTTTTACTGACCTAGTGGCTTGGTTACCAGAAATTGATATAAATCAACTACGTAATGAATACATTATTTTTTCTAAAAGTTTTGATGATCTGACATCAGGTATAGATTTACCTACTTTATTACATTGCCCAGAATCTATATCATCGAGTGAAAGTTGTGAAGAAGAAGAAAAAATATATAACTCAAGATGAACAAATTAATATGACAAAAATTGATGTTAGTACTATTCTTTATACATTGTCCAAGTATGATTTGTCAGCAGCGTTTCCCAATTTGTATATAGCATACAAAGTCTTAGGGACTATACCAGTTACATCTGCATCTGTGGAAAGATCATTTTCTAAAGTAAGTTTGATTTTAAAAATCAATATTCTTCTGCTTCTAAAATATAAATGTTCTCAATCTCTAAGCTTTTAATTAATATCTATATATTTAATTGTCTTGTTTTGTATTATAAAGGTTTGGATTTTAAATCTTGGTAACTTTTATGGGGTGAAAGTTTAAAATTAAAAATAGAGTTTAAGATTTTTGTGAAGGTCTCATAGTATTTATAATAACTTACCTTTTCAGAACTATACAATTACAGTATTTTATAAATTAAACTTATCACTAGGGAGTAGATGTTTATGCTCTAAAAACATTTAAAATATGCATGCAATTATGCACTTTAAAGTATAAAAATATGCATCAATAACATTTTTTATTTAATAATAATTTAAAAATAATTAAATTAAATTCATTATTATTAAAATTAAAAATTAAATGTTGAATTTTTTGTTAATCTTAAAATAATATAGTTGGGTATATATTAGAAACCAAGTACTGGCTGTTATTAAAAAATGTGATAAATGCATTAACATCTGCTCCTTACTTATTATTAATTACAATTATTGTATTATTTTCAGGTTAAACTTATTAAGACACGTCTACGTTCTACAATGGGCCAGGAACGTTTGGAAAGTTTAATGTTTTTGAGCTGTGAAAGGGACATCAAAATTGATTATGAAGAGACAATAACACTCTTGGGAAGATCATCTGATGTGTTAAAAAACGCATTATTATTTAAATGAATAAATATATATTTTCTTAAAAAATTTTTTAATGCTTTTTGTGATTGGTTGAGTGGGTGGTGGGTCTGACAATATAACTTGTGCCTCATAACTTAATTAAGTTCGCCACGCCACTGATCTCGGTAATCTGACCGTTCGATTATCCGATACGTCCAGTAATCACGAGCGCTTCCCCGCAGTAAGGCATTTGGCTGGCTTAACATAAAAGAACGTTATCATAACTTCAAATTGTAAAATGTAAATGTAAAATGTAAAATGTAGGAACTAGAAGATCTCTTTTGATTTAAAAGGTATTAATATACTATTAGGTATATTATAATGTATAGTTTTATAAATTCTTTACATTTGATGAATATAAATTATATTATGTCCTAATGTACATGGTAGGTAGGCAGGCACGTAGCTAAAGGCGGGCCAGGGGGTGCCTGGCCCACCCCAATATGTGTCTATACCAATATGTCGGCCTTAGGCCGGCCTACCTAAAGTATTGAGAGGGGCTCATTATTATATGATTGCTTTTAGTTTTACCAAATTTTTAATATTGCCTAAATATGACGCAAATAAAACCAAATACATCGGGTTTTGATTATAATCTAAGTAATGTAACTTGTAACTAAATTTAAACGATCGATTAGGAAATAATTGTTATTTATAGCTAAATACCGGTACTATACTACAATGTCAAGTTGTTCTTATCATATCTAGACAGTGACTACTGTATACTTGTATGTCTATTTTTAAAATACTTTGAGCGAGGGTATTGTCATTATATTGATTCATATAGAAATATAGAATTATATTATGGTCTCCGATTGGGCACTTACATTCACATTCAGCGCACGCTGCACTTATGCTAACATCACCTGCGTTAATATTTGTACAATTTATAGTATTTATACATTTTATCTTATATATTTAATATTTAAATTTATTTTAAAATGGCACCTCTCAGTGGATGTGCCAAAAGAAAACTAAAATTACAAAGAGAAGAGCAAAATGATAAAATATGGTATTATTAGGTTATATACTATATTAAGAGTTAAGACCTTTAATTCTATTCTTGTAAAAAAATAACTACATTTTTCTAGTAATTAATATGTAATAAAGTAATTATATTTAATAACTCCAGTCTCCATTACAACTATTCATTTGCTCTACTACCTACCTATCATATACATTAGGACATAATAAAATTTATATTCGTCAAATGTAAAGAATTTATAAAACTATGATAACGTTCTTTTATGATAAGCCAGCCAAATGCCTTACTGCGGGGAAGCGCTCGTCTGTAATCCGGCTATTTTAACCTATACTATTGATTATAAATAGTTATAATCAAATATAAATATCAAATATTTATAATCAATGCCTATACGTACCAATATGTATTTATATAAAATTATTATCGTATTAAATTGCTATCGTATTAACGATATAATGTTGGATAAAACTAAGTAATTACAGATTAAATACGAATAAACCTATAAGATATTTTATTTTTATTCAGTTAACGTTGGTGTGTTGTGCGTGTTCATTGTGTATACCGGTTAGATATAGTGTATTACGAATTACATTAAAATGTCACAACAACGAAAACGAAAACATACTACTTTAACTTTAGTTGAAAAACTTGAAATTTTAAATAAAATAGAAAATGGTCACAAGTTAGTAAACCTCGCTAACGAATTTGGAGTAGGTCGTGCTACAATATATAAGAAAAAATGGCGAAAAGATAAGGTCTTTTTTCAAAAATAACGAATGTTTGAAAAGTATGCACAAAACATTAAAAACTGGTGAGTTTCCTGAAGTTAAAGATGCCTTGTATCTAGACACCTATTTCGGGCGAAATTTTGAAAGAGAAAGCTAAGTATTTTTACAAAAAAGTCACAAACTAAGAAGATTTTCAAGTTAGCGACGGCTGGCTAGATAAATTTAAAAATCGTTTTGGTGTGAGATTATTGAGTATGACGGGAGAAAAACTGTCATGTGATGTTGAACCATACAAAGAAAAATTTTCTAAAAGTTATTCAAGAACTATCATTAACACCTGATCAAGTCTACAATGCAGATGAAAGTGGTTTGTTTTGGCGTCTTTTACTGAAAAAAACATTTGTTCACCGTAAAGAATCGAATGCTCCTGGACGAAAAATTGCAAAAGACGGGATAACTTTTATGACTTGTTCAAATGCAAGTGGCACTAATAAATTAAACTTATTAGTTATTGGTAAGGAAAAAAGTCCTAGAGCTTTTAAAAATGTAAACTTTTCAGTTGATTATAAAAATCAAAGCAAAGCATGGATGACCAAGTCTATTTTTTCCGAATGGCTTCATGAAACATTTTTACCTTCTGTGGAAAAATTTAACAAAAAACATAACTTATCTAAAAATGCCTTCCTTATTTTAGAAAATTGTCCTAGGCATACTATTGATAATTTTGATAAATTTTTAGGTACATAAGCAATGTAGAATATTTTAACATAGATTCCTTAACATTTTTAGCTTTAGATCTTATATCTACCGAAAAATGTTCAGAAATTTCTATTTCATAAAGTGAAACTAATAACTCAGTATACAAATTGGATTCCATACTACCAAATATTTTTTTTAATGCTTCTTCATTGGTCCACTACCTAGTTTCTCCAATTAATTGGAGTTTTCTATGTTTTGCATCTGAAAATGTAGCTTTTGACCAAACAGCCATACGTTGATACGATTCTTTAAAAAATGCAGCTAACCCATTTAATAAAGAAAAAATTGATGCACAAGCAATAGATGTTTTAGTTATATCTGATAATACCAAATTTAAAATATGACTGTAACACCATACATGAACCAGGTGATTCATCTGATAACCATTTAGAAAATCTATTATAAATGCATCGATGCAGCACCATCTATAGCATTAGCAATGCAATGTTCAATGTTTGTGAGAGTATTAGAGAGCAATTTAAAAATATCCTTTCCTGAACTATCTGTACAGTTTACAACAGCTATAAGTCTCATGAATCTCATTAGAATTAATATATCGAACAATGATTGCACATTGATCTTTAACTGCTACATCTTGAGTGGTATCTAATTCAACAGAAAACATTCCAACTTCAACAACTTGATCGAAGATGCATTTTTTAATAAGATCACTGATATAACATATTATTTGATTAACTGTTATTTTTGAAATTAAGGTTAATAAACCATCCCTAATTTTATTACCAGAATTATGAGATATTTGACTTTTTTTAATAATATTATCCAAATATTCATTCAGCACAACATCATATTTCTTTAGTAATAATAGTATTTCGAGAGAATTGCCATTTTCTATTGAGTCATTATGTAAAGTATAAGAAGATTCATTATGCTTTCCACGGTAACTAAGGCTATGTTTACCAATTAGTTTTATTACATCTATTATGCGTTCAAGTGCATTGAGTCTTTGTTTAATTAAAATCTTTTTAGAATTTAATTGATTCACAAATAAAAGGTTATCTATGTTTGTCTTATGAACATTCAAAAAATATGCTTCTGTACTTACATTGTGTTCTAATATTTTTAATGTTCTTGAATACGTTGGTAAGTATGAGACCATGTATTTATACCTAGTACAAATGAAATATTTTTTGAACCAAAAGTCAAACATACTGTACAAAATAATAATTTTCCATCAAATGTAAGCCAAAATCTATTAGTTCCATCTGCTTTAAAAAAAAAAAAACCTTTTTACTATTGAAAAATGTATGTTAAGACGGTTGCAGAGGATGATATTCAAAATAATTATCGAGCAATGAAGGAAGTGGTTTCTTAAACATTGATTCTGAGACATTCATAACCTTTACCTGAAATAAACAAAATGGTTTTAATTTATAAACTAAACTGTTACATAGCTATATCTATATTGAATTAAGAGAAATTAAATGATAAAGGTACACAATTGGATTAAGGATTCATTGAAAATTATTTGTTAAATTTAGATTAAATTACCTACAATTTAGTTATTCTTACTTAATTAATTAATACTTAATAATAAATAAATAAATAATGGATTCTATGTACCACCGAATAGTAGCTATACATACATTATTTAAATTATTCAGTCCAATATCAAACACTGGCTGCTTACATTTATCATTTAATTCTTCTCGTACCTATACTATAAAAAATAAATATAAAATCCAGAAACCATAAGATTCTTTCTGCAGAAGAATAAAGGTACTCGTACATTAATACTTCATACAATGAAAACTGTCTAAAGCGGACCCCGAATAAAACGGAAAACTATCCAATACGGAATTTTTCTATGGTCCCGGCACGTTTCTATAATTTTATGTAGACGCTGAACCTCAATAAAACGGAACCTTCTTAACGCGGAAACGGAACGATTTTGTAAGTCCATGCAAGTAAAAACCTTACATAAACCGGAAAAACGACACACGCGTGTGTACTTTAAACCAAAAATAAGGGTATAAAATGTTGATAGGTGTATATAAAATGTACATCGTTTACAACAGAGCTTATTCTAAAGCGCAGTTGGGCTTATTTTGCGTATTTGGAAAAGTAGATGTGCACTTGATAATAAACTTTTGCGTAATTGATTTTTAATTCAATGTTGTTTAGTGTTATTTTATACATTACATTATGATTTATAAACAAAGTAAAAAGGAAATTTATTAAAAAATTTAAAAAAAAATACTTTGAACACAAATGTATATTGTTTTATATCTTTTAAATACATTACATTTTAAATTACTTCACATAGAAGCTACACATTTTATCATTTTTAACTATAATTTGACAGTATATTTTGAGATCATTCTTTTACTTCTGCCACTAAATTTGGTCTGTTCATTTCCACAGGCTGATCGGTCACCAATTCCAGATTATCCTGATTACTATTTTCCTTTACCGACGATGGTTCAGATGATTTTTCGGTTTACCTTGCATTTTTCGCATTGTCTGATGACGATTCTTGATCGCGTTGTTCGCTTTTGTCTCTCTTACCG